CTCTGCGTGAGGTTATGGGTCTCTTTATGAGTCGATGGGTCTCTGTGTGAGTCGATGGGTCTCTGTGTGAGTCTATGTGTCTCTGCGTGAGGTTATGGGTCTCTGTATGAGTCGATGGGTCTCTGTGTGAGTCTATGTGTCTCTGTGTGAGTCTATGGGTCCCTATGTGAGTCTATGGTTCTCTCTGTTAAAACTAAAAAACAACAACAAAGCAGCGGCAGGACCCTCCTGTAAAAAGAGTCATACGACTCACTGTGGCTCTCCTATAGATAGATAAATAAGGAAGTTCTCATTTTCAAGCTTGGTGGGGAAGGGGCCGTCTCGCCAACGCGTGGATTCCAATTCGGTATCGAGCAGGCTTTTATTATTTCATTTCGTTTTATTTTAATCTCGCAGACAACAACCAGGGTGGCTTTTTCACACCGCTCATAAAGAGAGAACCCATCCCAAGTCCTGTACATAATACAGAATCTGTCCCAAGTCATGTACAGAATACATAACCTGTCCCAATCATGTACAAAATACAGAACCTGTCCCAAGTCCTGTACAGAATACAGAACCTGTCCCAAGTCCTGTACAGAATACAGAACCTGTCTCAAGTCCTGTACAGAATGCAGAACCTGTCTCAAGTTCTGTACAAAATACAGAACCTGTCCCAAGTCCTGTACAAAATACAGAATCTGTCCCAAGTCCTGTACAGAATACAGAACCTGTCTCAAGTCCTGTACAAAATACAGAACCTGTCCCAAATCCTGTACAAAATACAGAACCTGTCCCAAGTCCTGCACAGAATACAGAACCTGTCTCAAGTCCTGTACAAAATACAGAACCTGTCCCAAATCCTGTACAAAATACAGAACCTGTCCCAAGTCCTGTACAGAATACAGAGCCTGTCCCAAGTCCTGTACAGAATACAGAACCTGTCCCAAATCCTGTACAAAATACAGAACCTGTCCCAAGTCCTGTACAGAATACAGAACCTGTCCCAAGTCCTGTACATAATACAGAACCTGTCCCAATTCCTGTACAGAATACAGAACCTGTCCCAAGTCCTGTACAGAATACAGAACCTGTCCCAAGTCCTGTATAGAATACAGAACCTGTCTCAAGTCCTGTACAGAATACAGAACCTGTCTCAAGTTCTATACAAAATACAGGACCTGTCCCAAGTCCTGTACAAAATACAGAACCTGTCCCAAATCCTGTACAAAATACAGAACCCGTCCCAAGTCCTGTACAGAATACAGAACCTGTCCCAAGTCCTGTACTGAATACAGAACCTGTCCCAATTCCTGTACAGAATACAGAACCTGTCCCAAGTCCTGTACAGAATACAGAACCTGTCCCAAGTCCTGTACAGAATACAGAACCTGTCCCAAATCCTGTACAGAATACAGAACCTGTCTCAAGTCCTGTACAGAATACAGAACCTGTCCCAAGTTCTGCACAAAATATAGAACCTGTCCCAAGTCCTGTACAAAATACAGAACCTGTCCCAAGTCCAGTACAGAATACAGAACCTGTCTCAAGTCCTGTACAAAATACAGAACCTGTCCCAAGTCCTGTACAAAATACAGAATCTGTCTCAAGTCCTCTACAGGAAACAGAACCTGCCTCAATTCCTGTATAAAATACAGAACCTGTCCCAAGTCCTGTATAAAATACAGAACCTGTCCCAAGTCCTGTACAGAATACAGAACCTGTCTCAAGTCCTGTACAGAATACAGAACCTGTCCCAAGTCCTGTACAGAATACAGAACCTGACCCAAGTCCTGTATAAAATACAGAACCTGTCCCAAATCCTGTACAAATACAGAACCTGTCCCAAGTCCTGTACAGAATACAGAACCTGTCTCAAGTCCTGTACAAAATACTGAACCTGTCCCAGATCCTGTACAAAATTCAGAACCTGTCCCAAGTCCTGTACAGAATACAGAACCTGTCCCAAGTCCTGTACAGAATACAGAACCTGCCCCAAGTCCTGTACAGAATACAAAACCTGTCCCAAGTCCTGTACAGAATACAGAACCTGTCTCAAGTTCTGTACAAAATACAGGACCTGTCCGAAGTCCTGTACAAATACAGAACCTGTCCCAAATCCTGTACAGAATACAGAACCTCTCTCAAGTCATGTACATAATACAGAACCTGTCCCAAGTCATGTACAGAATACAGAACCTGTCCCAAGTTCTGCACAAAATATAGAACCTGTCCCAAGTTCTGTACAGAATACAGAACCCGTCCCAAGTCCTGTACAAAATGCAGAACCTGTCCCAAGTCCTGTATGAAATACAGAACCTGTCCCAAGTCCTATATAAAATACAGAACCTGTCCCAAGTCCTGTACAAAATACAGAACCTGTCCCAAGTCCTGTATAGAATACAAAACCCGTCTCAAGTCCTGTACAGAATAAAGAACCTGTCCCAAGTCCTGTACAGAATACATAACCTGTCCCAATTCTTGTACAAAATACAGAACCTGTCTCATGTCCTGTATAAAATACAGAACAGAACCTTTCCCAAGTCCTGTACAGAATACAGAACCTGTCCCAAGTCCTGTATAAAATACAGAACCTGTCCCAAGTCCTGTACAGAATACAGAACCTGTCTCAAGTCCTGTACAGAATACAGGACCTGTCCCAAGTCCTGTACAGAATACAGAACCTGTCCCAAGTCCTGTATGAAATACAGAACCTGTCCCAAATCCTGTACAAAATACAGAACCTGTCCCAAGTCCTGTACAGAATACAGAACCTGCCCCAAGTCCTGTACAGAATACAAAACCTGTCCCAAGTCCTGTACAGAATACAGAACCTGTCTCAAGTTCTGTACAAAATACAGGACCTGTCCGAAGTCCTGTACAAATACAGAACCTGTCCCAAATCCTGTACAGAATACAGAACCTCTCTCAAGTCCTGTACATAATACAGAACCTGTCCCAAGTCATGTACAGAATACAGAACCTGTCCCAAGTTCTGCACAAAATACAGAACCTGTCCCAAGTCCTGTACAGAATACAGAACCCGTCCCAAGTCCTGTACAGAATACAGAACCTGTCCCAAGTCCTGTATGAAATACAGAACCTGTCCCAAGTCCTGTATAAAATACAGAACCTGTCCCAAGTCCTGTATGAAATACAGAACCTGTCCCAAGTCCTGTACAAAATACAGAACCTGTTCCAAGTCCTGTATAGAATACAAAACCTGTCTCAATTCCTGTACAAAATACAGAACCTGTCCGAAGTCCTGTACAAAATACAGAATCTGTCTCAAGTCCTCTACAGAATACAGAGCCTGTCTCAAGTCCTGTATAAAATACAGAACCTGTCCCAAGTCCTGTATAAAATACAGAACCTGTCCCAAGTCCTGTACAGAATACAGAACCTGTCTCAAGTCCTGTACAGAATACAGAACCTGTCCCAAGTCCTGTACAGAATACAGAACCTGTCCCAAGTCCTGTACAGAATACAGAACCTGTCCCAAGTCCTGTACAGAATACAGAACCTGTCCCAAGTCCTGTACAGAATACATAACCTGTCCCAATTCTTGTACAAAATACAGAACCTGTCTCATGTCCTGTATAAAATACAGAACAGAACCTTTCCCAAGTCCTGTACAGAATACAGAACCTGTCCCAAGTCCTGTATAAAATGCAGAACCTGTCCCAAGTCCTGTATAAAATACAGAACCTGTCCCAAGTCCTGTACAGAATACAGAACCTGTCTCAATTCCTGTACAAAATACAGAACCTGTCCCAAGTCCTGTACAGAATACAGAACCTGTCCCAACTCCTGTACAGAATACAGAACCTGTCCCAAGTCCTGTACAGAATACAGAACCTGTCCCAATTCTTGTACAAAATACAGAACCTGTCTCATGTCCTGTATAAAATACAGAACCTGTCCCAAGTCTTGTACAAAATACAGAACCTGTCCCAAGTCCTGTACAGAATACAGAACCCGTCCCAAGTCCTGTACAAAATACAGAACCTGTCCCAAGTCCTGTATGAAATACAGAACCTGTCCCAAGTCCTTTACAGAATACAGAATCCGTCCCAAGTCCTGTACAGAATACAGAACCCGTCCCAAGTCCTGTACAGAATACAGAACCTGTCCCACGTCCTGTACAAAATACAGAACCTGTCCCAAGTCCTGTACAGAATACAGAACCCGTCCAAGTCGCGTACAAAAACGCCCTCTGACGGATCTTAAAACGCGTTCCCCGGTTATGGAGCTATCAACGCAAAAAACCCACTATAACTAATAAATAAATAAGTAAACGGCACGATTCACAGGGTGCTTTGCATGCCGAGGTGACATCGCCAATGCTTCGCGCATTTTCCCCCCGTTACGCAATGCGGAGTGCCAGGGCCTCCCAACACCGGCTTCACGCACGCACGGCCGCATCATTGCCCGCTGCCAAAAAAAAAAAATCCGCAACACAGTTTCACTCTCGCACGTTCGAACGAACCTCGCCAGCGTCGGGGTTCTGCCTGGGTCGGAGTCTGGATGGGTAACCACCAGAGTTTGTCAGTCGGCCCCCGTATTTGTGGCCAGACTATGGCAGCGCTGAGCGGTTGGATCCCGTAAATATATAAATGTGCCATTAAAACCCGCCACCACCCGACACAGCCAAGAACGAAACAGGTGGACTTCTCCACTTATCTGGCTGTCGCCTGATGAAGCTGGTTGTAATTACTGGCGAAACGTCGTACTCGGATTGTAAATGTTGTGGCTTGGCTCTCCAACACACCGGTGGTGCTGTACTAGTGACGATTTGGCCACGTTCTGTTTACGTGACAACCCTTACTAGTTGGCTGTGTCTGGTGGTGGCGGGTTTTAATGACACATTTATATATTTACGCGACCTAACCCCAAAAAAAACTCTATTATGAACGCAAAATAAGTCTTTATTTTAAAAAAATCACTCAGCCAAGCATCCCAATTGTAACAGGAATCCTCTCTTCACGCTCAGCGAGGCATTCCCACACACACACAGGAGATATTGTAAGGAGTGTTTAATAGAACCGTCCAGTTATTCGCGTCGTTACTACATTGCATTTGAAAGCGGCACTACTACAGACTAAGTGATAGATAAAACCGGTAAAAGTGGTATACGGTTTACAGGAGTTGAAACCACCGGAATGTCACGCACTATGCGACCTCTAATCGGGTTCGCCCATCTACAGCACAGAATGGGACTACAACAGTGGAGTCGGCTACGGAGTAGGCTACGGAGTAGGCTACGGAGGGTACAGGCGGTGCAACTGCGCCAATGCCAACAAGTGAGTCGGAGGGAGCCCACGCAGGCGACAGGCTGAGAAGGGAATTGGAGTTGTGGGCTTGGGGAGGCTCGGGGCATGCGATCCACGCCACTGGACTTTCGGAGAAGGAGCTGTATGATGTAGCCGCGTGTGGCGTTGTAGCCGGCAAAACGTGAAGAGCCAACACAAGTGCCGAACCCAGGCGGAGTGCCGAACCAGGAGGAGGAGGAGGCGGGGGGGGAGTCGCTGGAGGAGAGACAAAATCGCTGGGCATCACACGGCCCGTGGCCACGTGATGCCCAGCGATTCGAAACGGCCCCGCCAACGTCGCTGCGAGCATCTTGGCCGCACTGGTCGGGTACTAGGCGGGAGGGAGGGGGTTGGGGAGCGACGTTAGCGCGCTCATTTATTTCTGTCGCCGTCACTGAAAGATACGCACAGGACTCTTAATGGGTCTCTGCTTGGCCGGCACAACACTGGAGTTCGGGCCGCACGCTGGCGGCTCGTGTTTGGTCGGCGGAAACGTGAGAGCATTGCTCCAGACGAGGGAGGTTTCACGTTCGGTTCGCCCTTCACTTCTTTCGTGGTCAAACGCCACCCGTGCCTCCAGTCGCGGTGATCTTTGCAGCTGCCCAGGGGGTGGTGGGATGGGAGTATGGAGCACGCATTTAACGTCCCGTAAAAAGGTAGGAATTGGTCGTTAGTCGTATTATTATCACTACTACTACCGCATGTCAAGTGGCTGTCGTGTCACTACCCGGCATGCAGATGGATACAGAGGCAAGAGACGCAGAGAAACGGGAGGGAGTTTGTATAAATAAGGGAATGAAAACACAGAGTGACGTGTGCAAGCGTTGTGATGTAGTGAGCAGTCACTGGCGCATCTGGTGTTGTATTTAAGAGTCTCTTGCCATTTCATTTTCATTCGAATTTCAACAGCAGGCTGCTCAGAAGTCACCGCTTCCCTTAAAATTCGATCAAATTCCCCGCCGTGGCCACCCCATCTCCTCCCACCACCTCCTCAACTTCAGCATCTTCCACATCTTCTCCACCACCTCCTCCTCCTCTGTTCCCCTTGCGACGCGAGGGGGCTTTGGGGTGACCATCAACAACGACCTGATCCCCTTGAGGTGACGTCTGACAATGGGTCTCGTCGACGGCTTTGGCTTCTTGTGCTGGCGCTACAGCACCACCTTCACCACGCACTCCACCACCATCATCATTGGCGCTGGCGGTGCCATCACCGTTGACATCATCGCAGCGGTGGTGTCCATTGGTATCACCACCACCACCGCCAGCATCAGCAGCAGCAGCAGCGCCACCACCGGCACTAGCGCCACCACTAACAGCGGCGGCGCCTGCAGATCCCACATCGTCGTCGTCAACTCCTTGATCCAAGGCCCCGTTCGTGCGCGCGGCATCCGTGGACGAATCCGCCACGGCCCCCGCCGCTGCTGGCGCCTGGCCGCTGCCACCGCGGTCGTTTACTCGGGGGGCCGCAGGGGGGGGCTGCTGTTCGCCCCCCCGCGACCCGGGGGATGCGGGAACCCCCTCGCCTGTCACCGCTAAAGCCCCCACGCCATCGGGAGTTCCCGGCGACACCGCGACGCCATCCGTCGCCTGCGGAGCGGATCCCCGAGGGCCCGGCTTGGCCGCCACCTCGTCACCAGTCCCCTGAGTTGCCAATTGCGCCGCCGCCGTCTGCGCGCAATCGTTCGCCCGCGGCGATGTCGCCTTTTCGCCAACCTCCAGCGCCGATGCGATTTCACTGCCCCGGACGGAATCCGTCTCGGCGTGGCACTTCGTCGAGGGAGCTGCGATCGCCGTGGGCGTTTTCGCAGCCACCGCCGACGAACGCTTGTCCTCGAAGCCCCGACCCTGGCTCTCGGTGACCCCCTGCGGTGGAGTTGGCTCCTTTGCCATCGTGATGGCCTCCGCTGCGACCGGGATAATCGGATCGGGTTCGGGCGCCGTGGAATCCCCGCCGTCGTGGTGGGAATTCCGTTTGGGTTTTTCTGCCGCGTGCGTCGACTCCACCGCATCCCTCCTCACCCACACCTCCTCCTTCTCGACGCGCTCCGCATTTGATTCCAATTTAACGGCGAAAGTGCCTGCGTCGGATCCGGAGCTTGAGCTGGGCGCGATCTGTGGCGGCTTGCCAGGGCCTGGGGACACGGCCCGGCCCGCGCGTTGCGGTTGCGTCTCTACCCCCGGCGGTGACCCCGCCGCGATAGCGGCGCCTTCCTTGCCCGGCGCTCGAGTAGCCGCCCCGTGCCCCGTGTCGCCAACGCAGGACTCGGGGCTCTCGGCTGCAGCTGCGGCTGCCTCGCCGGGGTTCGGTCGGCATCCCTCCGCCGCCTGCCCGCTCCGGTGCGACCCCACGTCGCTGGCGGGCCGCCCAGAGCCCGGCTTCTGCTCGGACGACGCCGACTCCGCGGGCAAACCGCTGGCTGCTCCCGCCCGCTTCTCGCTCTCGTGCCCGGGCAGTGCTCCGAGCTCCTTCGCTGCCGCCGTGTCCGCGGCCGCAGCTCTCTCGGCCGCGGCGTCTCCCGCCCGCTCTGTCTGCGTTGACCGAGCCTCGGGGTCCACCTCCGGTGGCGCGGCCTCTCCCTCGGCTCCCGCTCCAGGGTCCGCGTCCTCGCTGGGGGATTCTGCGGCCGTCTGAGCTGCCCGACGAGGGCCTTCGTCGGCCTCGGCGGCGACCGCTCCTCCGCCCGTTGCGGCGTCCGCGGCCTCACTGGCCGCGTTCTCATCGGGGCCTCCCGCCTCGACCGCGTCCTGGCTCCCGGTCTCCTCGCCTGCGCCCTCCGCGTTGCCCGCCTGCTCCGTCTGCTCCGTCTGGCTCTTGGCCTCGTCGGCGTCGCCTCTCCCCTTCCTCTTCTTGCTCATTTTCGCACCCATTGTCTTGGGTGGACAGGGCGCGTGCGGGTTTGAGGTCACGGAGAGAGACACACGCGGGGAGAGACACGCGGGGAGAGAGCCACACACGCGGGATGAGAGAGATACACGCGGGGAGAGAGAGACACGCGGGGAGAGAGACACACGCGGGATGAGAGAGACACACGCGGGAAGAGGGAGACACGCGGGATGAGAGAGAGAGACACGCGCGGGGAGAGAGACAGATTTGTCAGACAGCGAACCCGGGAGTCTTTAGTGTTATATGCACTGTAACTAAAATTTTTACATCTATAGAGCAGGAAAGTGACCTGAAATGCTTCGGGTTGTCTGCAGGCAATTCAACATGCAGGTAGATCTGCTTTAACATAGTTTGAGACATCGTGAATATTTGATGCGAACTGCGAGCAATTCCACGCGGTAGCCCTTCCTCGTTTTCTACTCCTGGAGAAGCCAAGAGGTCACGCGTGACTCGTTTGAGTTGTCCCTGAACAACCTGAACATACTTTAGCGATTTGAATAACGTTAATGAGAGCCCTTTGTTTATCCACCGCTGGACGAAGGCCTCTCCCCGCGTCGCCTCGGTCACGGGAGGAGTTGTTTGGGCACGACCCACGGCACTCCTCGGTGCCGGGCTGGTGAACGCGGGGGAGAGAGAGGTGGGGGGGGGGCAGAGTGGATGCATGCATCACTCTGATGTTAGCCGCGATTGGGAATCGAAGTCAGGTCGCAGGGTTCACAGTGCGGTGGGGTGCGCCATCCACTGCGCCATCGCTGCCCTTCATCGAGTCGATCGCACGGCCGCACACTTTTGAAACAAAAAATAAACCGTGTTGGAGCGGTGGTGCAGTGGGCAGGGCGCTGCACCGTGCACCCGGCCACTTGCTTTTGACTCCCCGTCACGCGGCCACCGTCAGTGGCGAGGTATATCTGACCCGCACCAGCGTGGTGAAATATGGTGAAACAGCCCCATTGATCGGCGCGGAGAAGCCTTCTGACAGCACGGAATTGACTCAGGGCTGATATTTAATAATGTATATGATATATATATGCATGCACATACGGTACAGACGATGGTGGTTCATCACCATTGCCGTTCAGTGTCGCTCTTTGAATAATTAAATCCAGCACGTCCATCGGCCGTACCTGCTGCGAGCGCGCGAGTTTTGCCCGTGTGCAATTGGCGCGGATTAAGCGACGCGTCCTTTGCCCAATGTTCACGTGTCCCCGTGATCGGGCTAAAGCTAAAGTGGGCTCCTGTTCATCGGGCCCCGGTGATGCGCATCAATCATCGCAGCCCCTGTTCACTTATTTATGATGTAGCGTGCAGTGTGCGTGGTGGTGGAGGCGGGGGGGGGGGTGAAGGGGAGTGGGAGGGGTCTTTCGGAGTCGCGACGATAATTGTTGACAATCGGACGACGCTGGACAGAGATTGGCACAGACAGCGAGACAGAGGGATAGACTGACTGACTGATGGACAGGCATATCGATGCACGGACAGATAAAGAGATAGAAGAACAGGCGTACGGACGGATAGACACGTGGATAGATGGACAGACACTTTTATAAATGGACAGACACATTGATAGGTAGACGGACACATTGATAGGTGGACGGAGGGACGAACATGAAGACGGACAAATTGACGGATAGACAGTCAGACGGAAGGACAGACACACAGACGCACAGCAGCAAGGACACAACAGCAATGCACGGCAAACAAAATAAACTTGCAGGATCGTGACGAGCTGAGCTCCATTCACGCAATGGGATCACGCAGCCGTTGCTGCATCTTCCCGGTCTCCCCATTGACCAGGGGTCGACATTTGTATTTTTTATTTATGTATTTACTTCAATGCCAGACTCAGACAAAGTGCTTCGTTTTCCCCCGTGTAGCCTTTCACATACAAGTTGGGGCAAGTGCCGTGAGCGAGCCCATTTTAGTGCTGGCTTCACCCACACCCAGGTGTCGGTGGCCAGCAGCACTCCCGACCGCATTTGTCTTCCCAATGCTGTTTTTTTTTACACGGCACCGGTTACTTATTTGAGGCTGAGTCGACCTAGGGGGAGGCCCAGGACCGCTTCAGATAATCGTCACGGGAATCGACACACACAGACACGTGTGTGTGTGTGTAGCGGTAAGCGCGCTGCGCTACGAACCTGGCGACCCGAGTTCGATTCCCACTCACGATTATCTGAACCGGTCCCGGGCCTCCCTTAGGTCGACTCAGCCTCAAATGAGTACCTGGTGCGGTTTTTAGTAAACGTCGCTACTGGGGAGACAAAGGCGGCCGGGCGTGGTGTTGGCCACCCACCCCCTCGTGTTCCTTTTCCGGCCTTCATAGGTGCTCGCTAACAGCACTTGCCCCAACAGTCCGTTAAGGCGATACGGGGGATCTTTGCCTTTGTTTTATATACTGTACACACACTGTCCGCTAGAGTGATATGCCACTAGAAATATGCCATCTTTGACCCACGAGTGTGCCACCGTTTTGACGAGCGGCGTCTCGTCGCTTTCCGTCAAACGCTGCGTCGCGATAAGCCTCTGGCGTCGCCCGAGCAAAACAAAAACTCCACAACGAACGAAATCCACGTTGCTCTCGTCCTCGTCTAACCTGGACCTACGAGGAGCCTTCGCTGGTGACGACCTACTATTCTTTTTCTTCTAATCAGAGCGGTGACACGGAGTGAGGACACCGACTAAACCCGCCCGCGACGCCTGAGATCCGGGGTTCGAATCCGGGTTTAATTGGCCTCAAATGAGTACCTAGTGCGGTCTGTGAACATCACCACTGGGAAGACAAAGGGGAAGGGATTTAAATCTATGCAACACATTTTTAAAAATGTGTTTTATTTAACCGGGTAAGGCCCCAACTGAGCGCTATAGCTGTTTTTCAGAATCGACCTGGCCACAAATGATGGGTCATCACGTGGACATTTATATCAGCCAAATACTCTAAACGCGTGATGTTCATTCTAAATGTGGAGGGGGAAAACACGCAGACTCCAAATATACAGCAGGCGTCAGGGTCGGGGTCGAACCCACAACCTCCTGTATACCATCTCGCCACCAGTGACTCAACAAAGACCCCCCGTATAGCCTTAACAAAATGTTGGGGCAAGTGCTGTTAGTGAGCACCTATGAAGGCTGGAACGGCACACGAGGCGGTGGATGGCCAGCACCTCGCCCGGCCGCCTTTGTCTCCCTAGTGGCGATGTTTACACACCGCACGAGGTACTCATTTAAGGCTGAGTCGACCTAGGAGAGGCTGTGGACCGGGTCAGATAATCGTCACTGGTGTAGGCTGTGAGCGGGAATCGAACTCGGGTCGCCAGGTTCGTAGCGCAGCGTGCTAACCATTACACTACCGTTCCCCACTACGCACACTCACAAAAACAAACTCGTAACGTTACATTTGGCGTTGCGCTTAATTTGGTTACACTGCAGCTCTGAGAATGGCATTGCATTGGTGTATTTGTAACGCTCTGAGCAGCCCCTCCTAGAACGTTCTGACCCGCCCCGAATGGACATCTGTGATAAAGAGCTTTATAGCTCATCGGATTTCTCCTACAGTATAAATCAATATTCTGATTCTGAGTTTTGACTGCCGTGCAACGAACACTTTTCTCTCTGTAGCAGGATGTGTGAAGCAGCGCGCCCCGAGTGCGTCGATAATACGGCCACCTGAAGGGACCTTGGAAGCAGTTCGATCACATCCCCTTCCGCGGGCCGTTCTCTAACACAAGGGACCCATGCATTGCTCTGCGGGAGTTTCCGAATCGACACTTTCATTGTATGACGTGACGCAGATAGCGCAATCAGAATTAAATTCGAGCGAAGGCCACCTAAAAATAAAATCTCAAATCGAGACAGAGGCGGCGTGTGCTTAAATCTGAACACACGCCTCGTGTTTATGATAATTAGTCAGTGCTGATAATCATGAACTAAAAATATCACCCAGTGAGTACATCGGTACTGGAAATAGTCGGGACACGACGAGACAATATCTAAACATATCATCATCGCCTTATAAGCATGAGCCTCAGTTTGCTTTGCTCAAGTCAGTGATGGCAATGAGTGGAGTGGCTCACGCACTGCGCTATGATCCCGGCCACGGCTAACGTCAGTGGCGAGTCATGTCTGTACCGCTCACTGGTGCCTGCCCTTCACCAAACCCGCACTGACCAGCGTGGTGAAGTATGGTCAAACAACCCTCGTGAGCGACACGGCGCGGAGCGGCCGTCATTCAGCGGTGGATTGACGAATGGCTGAAGATTCAAATAAATATATATAATGTCATTATCGTACGAATAAGGTTTTAGATTATTTATGCATAAAGTTATATATTATATATAAATACATTTATATATTATATATGAATAAAGTTATATATATTATACGTGAATAAATTTAAAAAGTATATATGAATCAAATTATAAATTATATACGAATAAATGTATAGATTATATTTGAATTAGGTTATATTTCTATATGTATTCAAGAAAGCTTCAGTGAGTCTCAAGACTCGCTTTCAGGAGGGTCCTGCATTGGCAAATTCCATCTGACGCGTGTGTTTTTTTTTGTGCCCGGAATAAATCGGAGCGCCAGGGAGTACAAAAGAACGGTCCACGCAGACGGCTTCACGAACCCATTCCCTGTCAGTCACTTCCGGGCCACCTCGCAGCCCAGCGAGTTTGCCAATTCTCTGTGTGACCCACCGAGCCTTGCTGCCGAAGCGCAAGGCTCGGTCTCAAGCCTACATCACCACGCCTTGCCCTTCCTGCCCCCCCCAGCCTGCAGTCCAGCACTGTGGACGCAACAACAGCTACAAGGGTTGGTGGATCACCCGCACACACGCAGATGTTGTTGTGAAACTCCCTTCCCGTGCGCGTCGAGGAGGTGCAATACCCTGGCTCGCCAGGAGAAAACGGTACAGCAAGTGGACGATTCACCATCTGTTCCCATCTGTATGGGGATTGAGTGTTGCTCCCTCGCGGAAGGCGTGGGGTTTCTCTGGGAGCTCCCGTTTCCTCCTCCCATGTGTATAATAATAATAATAATAAACACAACTCATCATTAATTGGATGAAAACATCATAAAATGAATAGCCAATGTAGGAGGGCCCACTTGACAAATAGGCGTACGACTCAGTGTGGCTTTCCTGGATGAATAAGTAATTGTACGTATGTAACACGCGGGCCTTTCTCCGTCCGCTCGCGTTATTTCGCTTTAATTAATTACGTTTAATCAAAGGACGAACGTAACTAATGTTCCGCGCGTCGTTAATGTAATTAGGACATCGGGAAAATAAAAAAAAAACTAATGACCTTGGCACCACCCAGGAATTGCCTTGAGTGATTGGGAGGGAAGAGCGGGGATGACGAAGCGGTGGGAGGGAAGGGGAGGGAATGGAGGAGGGGGGCCAGCAGAGCGAGTGCAGGGGCAGCGGGGAATGAAGGCGACTGGACGGGAAGGGGGGTCGGGCGATCTTAGGAAGCAGGGGATCAAGAGGGAGCGACATGACGGGGAGGGGGGAGGGAGTGGTGGAGGGCGGCGATGAGGTCTGGGGGAGTGGTGGGGCAGGGAGGGTTCGATGGAGCGCAGTGATCCCGTGTTGAACCGGGAACCGCCACCCCCAGGCTAACGTCATCTCGCGAATGCTCTCTGCGAGGTCCCCCGAAGCAGCAGCAGACGGGTTGCCCGCCTATTCGGTTAACCGTCTCAGCCATTAGGCCTCTCCATTTGTCTTCGTAAACACCCCGCATGTGCTAACGTAACCCCGACCAACGGGTTTTTGTTTAACGCGAATACATAACCAACCAAAATGTTATCTGACCTAAATATGCCTCCTCCTCCGCTTCCTCGTTTTTTGTTTTGTTTGCTAACTCGGGGCTGATGATAAAAAAAAATGTTATTGCACAGAAAATTTGCATTCGCGGCACGAGAGGGCCTTCATCCATCAGAAGATGAAGCGCGGTCGGTAATTATCGTACCCCCCCCCCTCCCGCCCGTATCATGATACCCTCGACTTGAAAAGATAACCACCGCGCGCATTATTTAATAACTTAAGAGGCGGCAATTTTCATCGGGGGAGTGCGTAACGTGGCTTTGTTTCAGCTCATTGATTTCTCGGCGCGCCCCAGGCCTCGTGGCGGCGGTGCGGGGGGGGGACTCTTATTTTGAAAGCTCCCAGAAACCCCCCCCCCCCCCCCAGTCCACTGACAAATCGTGAACAGAGAAGTGGCTTCGTCTCTAGAAATTGACTTCTCTCCCTCCTGCCCCCCCTCACCCCCTTGCGTAAGAGGAGTCTCGTCGAGAAACCTCACAATCACTCCCAGCACCACCACCACCCCCCCCCGACCCATCCCGTCTCTCGCTTCGCGTCTCCGTCTGCCCCCCTCATCCATCTGTCACCCGGCAACCAAACACCGCCTGGCCGCCTCCCCCGAGACGGCAGATACACACCCGGCCAGTGCGTGTATGCCTGTGTGTGTGTGTATTAGTGTGTGTGTATTAGTGGGGAGCGGTAGTGTAGCGGTTAGCGCGCTGCGCTATGAACCTGGCGACCCGCGTTCGATTCCCGCTCACGGCCAACACCAGTGACGATTATCTGAACCGGTCCCGGGCCTCCCCTAGGTCGACTCAGCCTCAAATGAGTACCTGGTGCGGTGTGTAAACATTGCCACAAAGGCGGTTGGGCGTGGTTACCCACCCCCTCGTGTACCGTTCCGGCCTTCATAGGTGCTCGCTAACAGCACTTGCCCCTACAGTCTGTTAAGGCTATGTATTTGTGTGTTTATATATTTGTGAGTGTGGGGGGGGAGCGGTAGTGTAGCGGTAAGCGCGCTGCGCTACGAACGTTGGATCTTTGTCTTAGTGCGTGCGCGTGTGCGTGGCAAAGACAAATATTCACCCATCATGGATGACGTCAGCAGCAAGTGGAGTCTCAGACTGCCGTGGGCCTCCAATAAGCGCACTCGGCCTTAAATGACCAATGTCAAAATTTTGCAGGCGTGTGAACAGCCACATTGAGGGAGACAAAGGCGGCTGGGCATGGCAATGGGCCAATGCCCAGGTCAACCAATTCCTGCGCCGTGCCGCCCTTCGTAAGTGCTCGCTTAGCAGCACCTGCCCCAGCAGCCTGGTAAAAGGATCACGGGGCGTCTTTGTGGCGAAGACAAAGATTGTGCTCGACCGTGGATAAAATCAGTGCCGAGTGCACGGCATCTCTATCTGTCGCGGGAGGGGCCTCCCGTAGGTCAAGCCAACTCAACCTGTAATGCGTATCCCTTGCGCTGGGTGCACATCATCGCTCGAGATACAAAAAGCGATCAGGCGTGGTTGCTGCTACCACCGCCCAATCATTTGCTGTTACCGGCCACAAGCGGCGCTGGCTAACAACGTTGTGTGCTCCAATCGTCTGGGTACATCTGGGGTCTTTGTCTTGCGTGTGTGTATGCCGGGTGCAATTCTTGGCCGTGTGTGTCGTTGGCAATTGGTGTACGAACTTATCCTGCGCCTTCCTTGAGACCGAGTCGAGGACCTGCTGGGGGATGGCTACTACCTCGCCTGCTATACAGGAGGTCGTGGGTTCGATCCCGACCCTGACGCCTGCTGTATATTTGGAATTTGCGTGTCTCTCTCCCCGTGGTCGCGTGGATGTTTCTCCGGGTCTTCCGGGTTTTCCCTCCACATTTAGAATCAACGTGCGTTAAGAGTATTCGTCTGCTTTATATTTCCACGCGATAAGCCACACTTCGTTGAGCTATCATTTGTGGCTAGGTCGCTTCTAAAAAAAGAGAGCTACATAGCTCAGTGGGCCTTACCTGGTCAAATAAAATATATATTTTAAATAGTTTTTAGATATGGTCAACAATCAGCACTGGTTACTGACCCCACTGCCTGCGTGCGCACCGCATCGGCTTTCATAGGCGGCGCTCGCAACCCAACAGCATTCATCCCAACAATTGGTTCGGGACAAACGGCGATGTATTGTTTGGTGTTAACTTCGTAGCGGGTGGTGGGGCAATGTGAAAGGGCGTTCAATCCACACGCAGCGACTACCCTCACAACCACCCACCGTATATTTCTCCAGATTTCACGGTTCGCATCGCAGCCCTCTGGTGGGGTTTTTTTTGCAGTCCGAATGCCTCCTGAGTCTCGCTGCTACAATCACGGAGGTAGACCTTGTCATCGAAAAATTATGACTGTACACCGACGTACAGCTCTATCCTTGTCGAATCGATGTTATAAATGAATTGCTTATGGAGCGCGCTTGAGAGGGAGGTTTATACAATCGATAAAAGGGAGATACGGAGCCGTTGTTTTAGCCGATGTATCTTATTCACGCCACAGAGAATGTCACCCTGGCGTTTTTCATTCGACGAAAACTGAATTACGTTATTGTAATGTGTTTTTCTCCCCAAAATCAAATTATACAGCTGACACAGCAGGGGTATGATTGCTTTAAAGCACACGAAGCATTAGAAATTGCAGATATAAACTCCTGATCAGATTGGTAAAGTGGTCGGTATTTTTAACGTTTAAATAAGCAGGAGTTAAGCTAGAGGGAATCACCTAAGGTCGCGTTCACAATGCGCTTGTCTTAAAAGTCCGTGTGAGCATGGGTGAGCTCTGTCCGTGGTGCTGAGACAAATGCAGCGCAATGGGCGCTGCCCATCATTCTTCAGCGCATGGAGCACAATTTGCGCTGTTCATGATTCTGAGATACATACAAAACAATGGGCGTTCTCCATGCTGGCGAAGCACGTGTAGTGCGTTGGACACTGTCCGTGGTGCTATCCATGGTGCTGAAACACGTGCAGTGCAATCGGCGCCATCCATGGTGCTATCCGTGGTGCTGAAGTTTGTGCCGTGTAATCGGCGCCATCTGTGGTGCTATCCATGGAGCTGAAGCTCTGGCGCTATGCATGGCAGCTGAAGCACGTGCAGTGCGATCGGCGCCATCAATGGTCCTATCCGTGGTACAGAAGTTCGTGCAGTGCAATGGGCGCCATCTGTGGTGCTATCCATGGGGCTGACCCTCTGGCTCTGTCCATAGTGCTGAAGCACGTGCAGGGCGATCGGCGCCATCCATGCTGTAGTAGACACAATGCAACGTGCTTTGCCCACTGTGCTGAATACTATGCATGGCAGCCCACGGCGTTATGCTATAAAAAGTGTATATATATGGCCGTGTAACATCTGTACCGCGAGTCATGCGCATCGATGATATCAGATCATGAATCTATTTCCATATCAAGGCACCAAAAACTAGCCCCGGCAAGGGTTATTCTCCAATTTAAGTTCCCATTAATGCAAAAAAAACTTAACTCACGGTTCGGCACCTCTTGTAAAACGATTATTGCATATCAGCATTACTCCACAGAGCGTTGAATATCAGTATTGGGAGTACTGTATAGTTGTCAATACTATAGTGCTTAGGAAGACATTACCTATACACGCGGGTACGTACCTTTAATATTCTTTGGAGTAGTCGCGCGTGAGTGTTGAGCTCTGTCCGATTTTGAGCTACAAAATCGTTGTAGCGTCAGGAGGAGGTCTGCAGCGCTTGTGTTGTAGTCGGTTTTACAACAGGAGAGAAAGAAACCGAGAGGGGGAGGGAGGGTGGGGGAGAGATGTAGGGAAGGAGGCGGAGCACTCTGTGGCGTTGCGTGACCTCACCTTGGGAGACGGGGCGGACGCAGGCAGTCAGAGTGGATGAGTGGCTCTGCCGGGCGGATTCCGCGCAGCGAGACGCGGTTTCTCGCAGCTCACGAGCGACAGGGGTGGGAGGGGGGTAGGGCAACGTGAACTTATTATATGCCCCTGCGTGTGGGAGTACTGTAGTTGTGTCTGACGGCGTGCGAGGAAGAAGGTTGCTGTGTATGTATGTGTGTGTGAGAGAGAGAGAGACAAAGAGGGGTAGACGAGGAATATGTGGGCGATGGGATGGCTGGCTTCTGGCTCGATGAAGATGGTCGGCATTTTAGGCTCTTGAATTGAAAATATTTTGCACGGAAGGCAAAAAGGCGATGTGCCGGCTAAACCTTGCACGGGTTGTACGCGTGCGGCAGTAGACCATCGGTGCTCGTTTTGTGAGCGCGCGTTTGATGTTCGGTGCGCGTGTGTGTGTCAGTGTCCTATGTAGGGCACGCGTAGACCTATTTAAAGCTCATGCGTTCAAGCGCTGCTTCATACGAGTCTCGCGAGATTCCGTGGCAGCTCATTTAAGCTCACGCGAAATTCCATTTAATCTCGAGTCGACGGGAAAACGTGCGGGCAAAGAAAGGGGGAACACGCGCAGCTCTGGCGGCGCCTTAGCTGTGGACTAATCCCCGATGGATTTTGCCACTCGGGTACTCTCCCCTGTGTCAATGCGGTGTCTTCTCGCCATCGTGTTCGCTGTAATGGGATTTGTCAGGGCTGAGACGTTTCGCTCCGATGAGAATTGGGGCGCGTGACCTCTTGACCTGGGCGTGCCCCATAGCCCTAAACACGTCTTTTTTTTCTTTCTCCAAACTACTTTGTTTTCTCTATCGTGCATTCCACGTATTCGTTTTGTTACGCAATTGCGGTAGATTGGGTAGAGAGGCTAGAGAGTTGCGGGTCTCGGTCCGTCATTAACACAGCTTAGCGTTTGCCAGGGCACTTGACGCTATTTAAACTCGCGTTGCGCCTGTAATAGAGCGATATTGGGATCAATTCTCCACTCTGCAACGAACGCTTTTCTGCCCGGCGGGGGTGTGATTAAAGAACAATGGTTTCCCGCTAGGTCGAACGCATTTGGCAGATTAAACTACAGCCCAGCGAGTCTGAGAGGCCTCTCGCGCAGACCCGAAATTAAAACAACAAAAATCACTAACGACCGCAGGCTCTTTATCTCTATCTCGGCAAAATAAGAAAATCTCTATATAAAGCAAAAAAAACTCAGCACACATTCGTCGATAAGACTGCCCCAAAGCGGAAAACAATCATATAATGGGCGACGTTTCGGGCAATGGCTCTCATTCACGGCGTTTTTATATATCAGCTATGCAGAGCCATTGCTCTCCTATGCATAAAGGTCATTGGCCAGAAACATGTCCGATTACGTATGTCCTCTTTTGGCCGGATTTATAAACGAATGTGTTTAATTTTTGTTGTTTGTCTTAGGTGCCTGCGCACTACTGTCCATGCGGTACCACAATAAATACATTGCATATGAATTGAGCGCGTGTAACAGTATACAGCGCAAATAAATAAACAAGGCCCGTTGGATTTTGTATTATTATGCGCTCAGGACCTTTCCGCTCCTCACGGGGATTCGATTTCTCCCAACGTGCTGACCGGGTCAGATCATCGAGGGGACGCACTCCCGTGTGAATGAGGGAGCCCTTTATCCTCACGTGAAGCCGTTGGTCATGGCACTAGTGGTGGGATTTCCCCCGTAGGGTGCTGCTGACTGCCATGTTAAGTTAACAGTGTTACAACAAAAAGACACCCCGAGACCCTCGGTAGTCGTAGTAGCAGTCGTGGTAATGCGAACGCAGATGAACTTTCCCCCGTGCTGGTGTGCTGAGCATTGCCAGATGGAACTAGGCCACCTTGGGGAGTCGTGAAGCCCACCTTGCAATAATCACCGCCGCAGAGAATTTCCTGGAATTCGTAAGTTCAGCCCAACGACACCGCATCGCCCCCTACTGGGCTCGCTCAGAACTTTTTAGCTGAACATTTTATTTGTAACTATTATTTTCTGGCGGTGTGCGCGTGCGCTTTCGTTCTTTAGTTTTTTTTTGTTTGACCCCTGACAATGTGACCTTTAATCTCAACGGCCAAGAGTGGTTCAGTTTTACTGATACGTCGCGTTAATGTTGTGTCTGTTAGTGTAAGGAATGACGGTTTCCTGATTCGTTCCTGATTTTATTTCGATTTAAAGCTTTCGTGACTGCAAGGATTCATCTTCTTTGGTTATTTCGGTAAAGTCACGTAGAATGAGAATAAAATAATTATAAAATAATAAAATAAAATTGTTTTATTCTCATTCTACGTGACTTTACCGAAAGAACCAAAGAAGATCGTTCCTGATTGTTGTCCATTGCTCTTTCTTCCTCGGCGCTGACTAATTAAGTAGTTTAAGGTCATTACACTCAGGGTAGCCTCGTTACGATACGTAAATGAGGCTTGATTAAACAATCTAAGTGTTTCTTAAGAAACTTCGGAAGCGACAACAGTCGCAGTACCTTTCAGTAACCAATCCACTGCTGGATGAATGCTTCCCCATACCTTTCCGGTACCGGGGGTCGATTGGCCATGCATAATAACCACGCTCGTTAGCTATCGATGCATCTATTAGGGGGTAACGGTAACGCAGTGGTTAGCGCGCTGCTCTGTACGAACTTAGTAGTCACTGTTTGATCCCAGGCCATGGCTAGCATCGGTGGCAAGTGATATATTAAAACGTCACCTAAATGTGACTCTATAAAGTCAGAGAATAGTCAGACAATCGCGTATGTTTGAACCCAAACGAGTAACACAATTTCATAAAATTAGCTGTGGGTTTTGCAGCACCTAAAATAACTTTAGTAGGCCAATCCTTGAGTGGAAATCCTTGCCACGGCAATTGCAAGTGAATGCTCCACAATTATTGAGGACGATCGGTGACGTGTTTTACTTTGACTCTTACACTTCCTATTATTACATACCTTCATACAGAGCTCTCAGCAACCCAACCACTCCCTCTCCTCTCCAGGCGTAACTCCACTCCAACTGCTCTTTCACACCGTGAGTTGTCTGCCCCTTCAACGTGACTTTACCGAAAGAGCTAAGAATATAATACAACTCCCTTCGTTGCCTTAACCGACAGTCTCGCGGCTGCCCGCCGATGTGACTCCAAACGTCAGAGCCGCGAGCCGTATCGGGCGGGGGGGATCCACGTGCAACATTCAGCACCACGAGTCGGGAGAGTCTCATCCCCGTTTCCGTGCCACATCCCTTCACCGTATAGCCTCTCAACTCCATTATACACGAGGCAATAGCACCGTAAGGATCGTGTTTCATGTTGTGGTGAAGGATGGGGAAACACCCCCCCCCCCCCCCCCCACGATTGGATCTAAATAAAAGCCATTGTTTCCTTTTTTATGGCACTGCCTCGTCAGCTCACACGGAGTATCCATGCTCTCTGTAACACCGCGAATTAATTCCTCGAATACACAATCTTGATACGTCTCGGAAGGGGGGGGGGGGGGCGAAACGCAATACCGTAGGATTCTCCAATGTGTATAATCGCTGTCAGCAATTTGTTTTTGTTCAGGGCAATGTAACCACGCTATTGACACAATTACGATCCTGAGTATGAATTTGGCTTTCATCCGCCAGTCGTTAAATCGGGGGGGGGGGGGGGGGGGAAATGATGATGATTTGTTTCCGATAGAACCGCCCTCCTCGGCACAAGATGATTCGACACCTGCTCTGAAAACCCGCATTAGTCTGCCAGCATGGGGTGATGATTGCTGCTATGTAGAATAATCATAATAATAATCCCAATTGAGTAATACGAGGCTAAATTTCAAAGCTCTCTGGTGCCCGCACACAAATATCCCGCGCATGCGATTGATAGCCAGTGTGAAGCAGATAACGGTTCATAAAACCCGCAGTATTAATCAGGAGGCGGGCGATAGGTTAGAACCGTGAACCTCTGCAACGAGGGGCGAACCCGATTCCGCCCCGGTGCAGTGTTAGCGAGTTATACATAGGCTGAACTTCTTTCGCACCGTATGTAGCCAACCGTGCTAATCGGAGGTGCGGGAAAGCACAAGAAAACTAAACAACAAGCCAGGTCAATGTGGGCCGAATACCCTCTCGCCGTGAGATGTTCTGCCAGCAGTGCCGTGAGCATAGCACTTGCAGGGCTGCGCTTTTACCTCTTTTACGCTCCACGCCTAAAACCAGGCGCCTGTAAATTTTCCAACCGGATAATCATTTGAGATGGAACGGGCGCATCATTCAAAAGGGTGTCATGTGACAACATGCATAGCAAGCAAGACTCACACAACACGGTCAGTTTACGTTTATACAACGTTAATACCGTGCATGCTCTTGGTATATAATCAAGAGCAGAAACGCAGAGTCAGTATTACGTCACACCCCCATCAGTGAACATGAATCACGTCGGCTGATGGGCGTGTGATGTCATGTACGCGGCACCGTTACGTTTTCCAGATGACGTCACAGGGTCCATCATCGAACGTGATGTCACGGTAGCCGATACAGGCGTGACGCTGCATATACATTCACGGCGATGGCGTTACTCCTACCGTGAGGAAGGAGCGTTGACACAAACGCTATGTTATATGTTTGAAGTCTTACATCATCATCATCATCGCTAATGTAGATCCACGGACGTGAAAACGTCTGGTAACATGACGTCATAATAACTCCACTTCCCCCTCTATTGTTTAAGCTGTCGGTTGTGTAACGTCACCATAGTTATTGCGACATCCACGCCGATGACGAACATGACATCATACCTGTCAACCTATTATCAGTGCCCTACTTTATATACAGACCAATTCAGACCTTATTGGTCACCCCATGGCCTTCTAAATCTCAACGTTCGCCCTACAAAGTCCCATCACAAGTGAGAAACACAAACAAATAAACAAAAACATTATTTGTTTTGCCCGAGTTGAAGCGGCTGTAACGCCGTATGGACCTGCAAACGCAATGTTCCCGTACAAGAATACGGAGTGAACCCTATAGGGGCCGTCCATAAATGACGTCACGTACCTAGGGGGGGTCAGACATTTGTGACGATATGTGACGAGGGGGGGGGGGGTGTGAGAAATTTGACGTCACATCAAAATGCGCAACTTTAAATAAATATAGACAACACGTTCTACTTCATTAAATAGACTTTTTAATAAATGTTTTCTCCTACAACATCAGAGTGCAGCGCCACATTAAATACACACTACAATGACAATAGTTTAAAGCGATTTGAAGCACGTTTTATTTTCAAAATGGAATTTTTGGGGGGGGGGAGGGCAGAGCTTTGTGACGTCATATTTGAGGGGGGTCTAACTTTTTGTGATGCCGTGTGACGAGGGGGGGAGGTCAAAAATCGTCCAAAATCGCGTGACGTCATTTATGAACGGCCCCCTAATTGGCTGTTTAACATCCATAATAGAGGGGTTTTGGGGGGGGGGGGTTAGATCGCGTTAATGTCTAAATGTGTCGTTAAACCCGCCACCACCCGACACAGTCAGTGATGTATGTTACTAGTATAGTGTATAGTAGTGACGTGTAGGTGAATAGTAGTGTATAGTGTAGTGTACTACTTCAGCCCACCGATGTGTCGGAGAGTTCATCCACGACATTTACAATTTGAATACTTGGCTGTGTCGGGTGGTGGCTGGTTTCACGACACATTTTATATATTTACGCGATCTACCCCCTCCCCCCCGTGTTAAAATGACGTGAAGGGGGGGGGGGGTAACCTTGATTTGAAGCTTTCGTGACTGCACTAATCCATAATCTTCAGGTAGGTTGAAAACAATAAGAATAGATCACGACGTTTTGATCGCCACACAAGCAATCTGATGACGATCGCAATCTGATGACGACCGAATCGTCGTGCACTATTATTATTTTTTCGACCCACGTGACTTTACCGAAAGGAACAAAGAGTATCGGGGGAGGAGGGGGGGGGCTGGTTTTTAACAACCCGCCCCTCCGTGACGTCACGCCGGCAACAGATAACATGACGTCATCGCACCGCACCACCTCCCTCAACCATCCTCAGACCCCCCCCCCGCCCGCTCCTCCCATCCAAGATGTCTGCGCCAGGCGAGGCGTTGCCCCGGGTTGGGCCGGCGTCTCTCTGCGAGATGAACGGAGGCGGCCGAGACGAGGACGAGGAGGAGGAGGGCGGACACAACCTGTGGTGAGACGAGGAAGAGCGGTTGTTGTTGTTGCTGATGATGATGTTGTTGTTGTGTTGGCGGCGGTGGCAGAAAATGGTTGTGTGTACTACTGTGCAGTGGTGGGTGGGTGAGGTTGTTGTTGTTATTAGTGGGGAGGTTGGTGGTGGTGGTGGTGCCGGCATCCGTGCAGTATACCCCAGCAAGCAGCCTAACAAATAAATGGTGATGGCATCGAGGAGTGGTGATGGTGAAGGGTGATGAGGGTGGTGGTGATGATGATGGTGGTGCTGGCCTTCTAGGGTGCTCACTTTAAACAGCATCATACCCTACATGACTGTAATGGGTAATTATTTGGTGGTGTGAGGGTGAATGCGGTGATGATGATGATGCCGATGGATGTGTTGCTGTGATAGTGGTGATGGTGAGGCCTGTGGCTGACTTGAGCTGTGGGTGGGTGGGGGCGGCTATGGCTCTCGTTTGCCCGCAGGCTCTCCATCCTAAGCGAGGTGTCCAGCCGCTCCCGCTCCAAGCTGCCCACGGGCAGGAACGTGGTGGTACTGGGTGAGGAATTCCCCTCGTGATTTTACCTTCGTTACGATGTTCTCCGTGATTACAATTGCTATGAAATGGCCAGGTAACGGAACATTTGGTTCCACGCACAAGCCGTGCGAACAACTATCTCGGGCTGCGCGGAGGCGCTGCAGCGGTGGGCGCGTTTTGACGATTACTGTTTAATGTCACATTTACATTATTATTTAATGACTTAATTATGCAGTGTAAACGATGAAACTCTTAACTCATCATTAAGCAGCTTTAGGCAAGAGCGTGGTGGTGTAGGTTGAGGGATTGTTGCTGTACCGCACGATAACAAATCGATTGTTTAATATCAGAATTATCGTGGATTTTTTTTTATTAAGCGTTAAATAAAGGAAATTTTTTTGCATTAAATGGCATCAGCGATTTTTGTTTAGTAACAAAATTTTCAGTGAGCATCATGGTGTAGCGTGATAACATTGACACTTGACGACAAATGTTATACTCCTCTAATGCTGGATATTATATTAGACAAAAGTTTTGCTGGCTGGCTGGCTGACTGTCGCGCAGGTGAAGTCATCCACGCCGATGAGCCTCCCAACAACACCGGCCGTTTACCACACGCAAATGCTGGACAGTTCTGGCTGCACTTATTAAAAGAGAAGTAATATAAAACTCGCCATCATCCTACACAACCAACCATTACATCCTTCAGATATATATACATACTCCGTTTGTCAATCCACTGCTGGATTAAGGCTTCCACGTGCCGTGCAGGTCTTGGGGAGTCCTTTGACCATACTTCACACTGGTAAGTGTGGGTTGGTGAAGGCGGTGGTCATAGATGTGGGACCGTTTATTGCAAGAACCGATTTTGCAGCATTGCTCTCAGCTGCCCAACATCAGACACTGCACCAAAAATCCACATTAGAATTTGTATTCAATCATTCAACATAAAGTTAAACAAACATTATGCAGCTCATCAACAACTTATAAAAAATGTACAAATTAGACTACTTATTTATCTTAGTTTGTCCAGCAAAGGCTCAATGAGTCTGAAGACTATTTCAGGGTGTTCCTGCATTGGGATGTTTGTTTAGTTAAGAGATTGGAAAATAGAATATCAAGAAGAGCCATTTTTTTGTCGAATTGGGTAAGAAAAAAAACCCGCAATATTTTAAGAGCAGCAATGCGTGGTGAATACGAGAGACGGTGGTCCTTAATTAATAACGGGTCACGAAGCAGTCCTTAAAGAGCCACATGAGACTTCCTAGTCTAGTTGATTTAATGAGGACTGTGCAATTGATGGGATATTGCCATAATTACGTGTGGATAACATTCAAAGCTCCTCGCAGAATCCATAGCCATACTGCCATCTCCTGGCAACCTCGCAGCTCCCCATAGACAAGAGCAGGCTGGTGCTTGGTGAGATTACTTTGTGATTCACCAACAGTAGCATTACACTAATTCACCCATTTTGTAACATAATCCATACCACCAGAAAATAGTGTAAGAGACAAGCAATTAACATCACGACACAAATCATTAAACCTTAATGTAACGAGCTGCATGAAGGCAAGCGTGGTAGCTTTAAGTTAGACCATTAACGTATTCACATTGCAATTGTTAAGCCATTAAATAAACCATTAAACCAACTTTGTATCATTATTAACACTTAAATAGAATAGTATACCATCAAGCTTCAGACTGACTAAAGAGTGGTGTGCGGGTTAGAGCATTTCCTGCATCACCAACAGTACTAGAATATCAAACTTATTAAACAAACATAACAAATTAAGCACGGAAATAACAGTAAACAAACCATTTAACCATGACAGAATAATATAACGCATAAAACAATACTTTGCCATGAACCCAGTTACAACTAGCTTCATCAGGCGACAGTCCGATGGCTGAAAGCAAATCTGGCTGACGCCTGTTGAAGCTGGTTGTAATTACTGGCGAAACGTCATACTCAGTTTGTGAATGTTGTGGCTTGGCTCTCCAATACACCGGTGTGCTGTACCAGTGACGAATTGGCCACGTTCTGTTTAAGTGACAACCCTTACTAGTTGGCTGTGTTGGGTGGTGGCGTGTTTTAACGACACATTTATATATTTACGTAATCTAACCCATAAAAACCTCTTATGGATGTTGAAAGTTGTCTTAATTTTAGTTGTTTCCATTGGAGCACTGTCATGTTTTCATTTGCAATATTTATTTCGGGAGCCGATTGATTCACAGTCAGTCTCTTCCAAGGGAGAAACCTGAGTTAAAGGCTGTGTGAATTATACTCGCAGTTCGCTGATATCATGTGCCATGGAAGGCATGATGGGAGGGACCTTAGTTATGGTCAGAATCCGTTTGCGCATATCATTGTTCATTTTCTTCCAGCCATCGAACTCTTTTCTGTCCTTGTTTCTCATCATTTACAGAATGTGTTGTTAGACTTGGGGTACAGTGAAGCCTCATGTCATTGTTCCCCCTCTGTGCATTTCCCCATATCTAACGTCCCTTATTGACTTTATTACACCCATTGTTTCCTGACTAACACTGTCCCACATCTTTCATTCAAAATATCACTACTTCCCATAAAAATGTTACAGTGAGCTTTTACTGTCATGCAAATAATATGAAAACAGGGAGAAAATTGCATAATTATATGCATATTTGTCTTTAATAACACGTTGTTT